TATTATCTTAAATTAGACTGTTGAGCGCGATTGCCACGTCAATTTACTTATTTAAAAAACCCTTGAAAAATATAGTGTCGTCTCCTTAAATCCAATATGGCGGACTTAAAAAGATAGCGGGCTAAGTTTTTATATTTTCCTACAATAAGGGTATCAAGTGAAAGAGCTTGCTGAGAATAACTCGGAAAATATAGTGACGTTAGCTTAAATCCAATATGGCGGACTTAAAGAGATGGTGGACTAGATTTTTTTATATTTTCCTACAGTATGGGTATCACATGAAAGGACTAGCTGAGATTATGAGGGTTTTGATGTCCCCGATTATATCCACCAATAACTAAAAAGTAAAAAATAAATTAAGAATAAAAGACTTTTTAAAACCAAGTTTTTATTTCAATGTTCTAAAAATAATTAAACTATAGATTCCTTTTAAAGCTTTTACTATCAACTCATAACGTCATTATACAATTTATATAATATAAGCTTGTCGCGCGATTCACCCGTTAGATAAACACTAAACTTGATATATATGAATCTTCAAAATTTTCAAACTAAGTAAATATCAATATAACTACTTAAATCTGGTGACGAGCTTTTATATTGTACAATAACGTTATAAGTTGATAATAAAAGTCTTAAAGAAAATTGTTATTTTATTATTAATAGCTCATTTTAATAATTTTCTGTAACTTCGACGATTCTTAAAACCCATTGTTTTAGTTTGAAGAAATACCTCTTTCTTCATGATCATTGATAACCTGAAGAGCATACACATAGTTTCTCATTGAATCATCATAGTATTCAGTCACGTCACATGAAACAATCAATCTCAAACAATTCTAAGACGTCTTACTTTTAGTAGGTAAGGAAACAAAGAGGCTCAGGTCAATTCCTTCAAAAGTTAGGTTTTTGTCCCAGTTCCTTTTAATTCTGTTTTATTGGCATGGTAAATATTTAATCAAATTTTCTTGACATCCAAAATAATATGTTCAGCTAAAAAATGAAATGAAATGAAATGTCATTTATTCAGTCTTCACAAGCACTTGTGAAGGTCAAGAAGCTACGCCATCGGTTCGCAAAACTACGGCGGGAGACCTTGTACTGAGAAGAACCGGCAGGAAACTCAGCAAGGGCTGTTTTTTTTCTTCCTGTATTGTTATATACAGTGTCGTCAAGTTGAAAAATTACTTCAGAAATACGTCTGAAGTCACTTTCCATTACATCATCTAGAATATAAATATGTAGTTACAATTAATTTTATAGTTAACATTTTAAGTAGTATATAGGAAGCGGCATTAGATAGGTACAATATTATTGTTATGAAAAATGAATAATACCCATTTAATATCAAATTATAAGAAACACTATGTCCATGCATTACGATCATTTAGATAATCATCAACTTTATAATAGCCCTTATTCATAAGAGTATTTTTGATCTGAGATTTAAATTTAGTCAGTGGAAGTTCAATCAGATCTTGGGGAACTTTGTTAAACAATGCAATACTACAACCCAGAAATGAACCTCTTGATTTTTGGAGTCTGAAACATGGAACGGCAAGCTTGTTCTTAAATCTCGTGTTAAAGTTATGGGTTTGACTTTTTTTTGCAAATTCATCATAGTTTTTTCTTACATATATTAAATTTTCATAAATGTATTGCGACGCCAGTGTTAAAATATTAATTTCTTTAAATTTTTCTCTAAGGGATTCTCTTGCCTTTAAATTGTATATGGCGCGAACAGCTCTCTTTTGCAGTATGAAAATACTTTCGATATTAGCGGCTGAGCCCCACAACAAAAGGCCATATGACATAACACTATGAAAGTAACCAAAGTAAACTAATCTTGCCGTTTCCACATCAGTTAAGAGTCTTATTTTTTTAACAGCGAAAGCTGCAGAGCTCAATCTACTTGACAAGGCATCAATATGAGGATCCCATTGCAGACGAGAGTCTAAAGTAATACCCAGAAACTTTGTAGAATCCACTAACTCTACAGGCTGGTCATTTATTTTTATACTAGTATTAACCTGCCTCACATTAGGTAGAGTAAACTTAACGCATTTTGTTTTACTGGAGTTAAGTTTTAAATTATTTACCGTAAACCAGTGAAGGACTTCAGAGAGAGCACAATTTACTTCGTCATAACAATCATTTCCTCTTCTAGCTTTAAACAATAAAGAGGTGTCATCAGCAAATAGTACTGTCTCACACAAATCTCTTGTAAAGTGAGGAAGGACATTGATATAAATAAGGAAAAGCAATGGGCCCAATATTGAACCCTGGGGCACGCCCATAGAAATGGGTGCTCCTGTAGATTCAGCTTCATTTATAGCTACTTTCTGAATCCTAGCAGAAAGATAAGACTGTATCAGACTTAGTGAAATATTTGATAAACCAAAATGCTTCATTTTATTTAACAATGTTTCATGGCTAACGCAGTCAAACACCTTTGATAAGTCGCAAAAAATGCCAATAGCATCGTGCTTACTCTCCCATATATCAAAGATGTGTTTGAGAAGTGAAGTTCCAGCATCAGTAGTACTTTTGCCTCTAGTGAAACCAAAATGTTTTAAATGAAATAGCTTATTTATAGAAAAGTGTGCTAGTAATTGGTTATAAATTATTTTCTCAAATACTTTACTTAGCGCTGGTAATACAGATATAGGCCTAAAATTGCTGGGATCTGATTTGTCACCAGCCTTAAAGAAAGGGGTTAACTTTAGCACATTTCATTAGATCTGGAAACACTCCCTCATCAATACATTTGTTAAATATAATGGCCAGTTGTGGCGCAATAACAGTGATAATCGGTTTAATTATATATGTTGATATTCCCCAATAATCCTCTGTCTTTTTAATTTTAATTGAGTTAAAAGTTTTTATAATACAGTCGCTACTGATATGTCTAAAATGAAAATCATTACTGCACTTATCAACACTTGACTCAAGGAGGGTCATTGCTAACCTAGAACAAGAATTAAGATTTCTAGTTGTTTCAAATGGTGCACTAGAAAAGAAATTTTCAAAAGTGTTTGCAACGGCATCATCTGTCCTAATAATCTTATTGTCTATTTTTAAAGAATATGTGTGTTCATTAAATTTATTTCTTCCAGTTTCATTATTAATTATATTCCAAGTTGTCTTTATTTTATTATCGGAAAGACTATTTTTTTTTGATAAAAACTTAGCTTTTGCTATGGCACACACAAACACACACAAAAAGGCAATACTAGGTTTCTGTCTAAATTTTTTTAAAATTTTTTTTTAGGCCATCGGCTAACATTGCTTAATGCCACAGCGAACTTATATCAGACTAGCATGATGTGTATGTAACTCTTTCTTTATATTTTCGTTAAATCTAGTCTAGTTATATACTTTGGTGAAATAGAACATTTTCATTGCATACGTTGCCTACGTCATCAACTTCGTTTAATTTAAGGACGTTTGAGATCCTAACAATATTTTTATTTATTTATTTATTGAACCTTCTAAATAATGAAATGATAGTTGTTATAACTTTCAGGTATAACAAAGTCTAGTCTAGTTATATACTTTGGTGAAATAGAACATTTTCTTTGCATACGTTGCCTACGTCATCCACTTCGTTTGATTTAAGGACGTTTGAGTTCTAACAATATTTTTATTTATTTATTGAACCTTCTAGATAATGAAATGATAGTTGTTATAACTTTCAGGTATAACAACTACCACTTGTTGGGAAACTTCAATTTTTCGGGATGGAATTCGAAATCTTCTTCTCGAAACTTCTGGTGCTTGTTTCGTATCAAGAAACTCATGAACCGGATTCTCATCCTCCTGTTAATTATCGTATATGTCTTTTTATCTAGTAAATTAGACATGGTTTGAAACTTCCGAAAAAAGGGATGTCAGACCCTCTCCATGGTGATTTGCAGCACTTCAAAAAGAAAAAAAACGGCCAAGTGTGAGTAGAACTCGCGCACCGAGGGTTCCGTACAAACCTGTAGGTATATTCTAATAATTATTAAATATTTTTTATTATATGATGTAACCAAAAATTTACGGTTTTCGCAATTTTTCCTTTATCTGTACTAAAAAACGTTACTTCGTACCAAATTTCAAGATTCTAAGACACGGGAAGTACCCTGTATTCCCGTGCGAGTTTCGAAAATTTTCGGAAATTTGCGGCATAAACGGCTGTATTTTTTGATTGCTTTGGCTTAGAAGTTTGATTTGTTCACAGCTCTAAGGGACAGTAGGCCTGAGAATTAGATATGAATTTCAGTTTGATACCTAGACGCCTTCCTGAGAAAAACGGAAAAACGGACGAACAACAAAGTGACCCTTGGATTCCGTTTTTTTCCTTTTAAGGTACGAAACCCTAAAAATATCAGAAAACATATTGACTCTTCAAACAATCGAAAAAATTAATGAAAGAAATTTTTCACTGACGCGGTTTTTCAACTGTGTCCTTTTTCTGACACGTGGATACCAAACACTATGGTACAAATATATAATCACCAATTCAAAGACCGATCACTGCAAAAGTTGCTTAACTTCAACGATCGCAGCCAAGGGCGCTAGCCATTTGCGCTAACGAGCTCCTTCATCGTGGCTATTCTGTAAAATTCTCACGCGCGGATCCGATGCGGATCCGCACACATCTGTATGGGAGAGGCGTGGATCCGCATCGGATCCGCGCGTGAGAATTTTACAGAATTACCTCGCAGTTGTCTCCAATATTGCTTACACATCAGTATAGTATTTTCTCCGTTGCCCTAGTACCCATGACACAAGCCTTACAGTGCTTACATTGAGGCTGAGCTAATTGGTGTCAGTTGAAAATATTTTTTTACGAAACTTCTAAATTTACTATCTAAAATGATTATTACTGTATGATATTCCTGTTTTGTTCCAAAGTTACCTAAAATATGTATGATAATTATGGTGTGTTACATAAAGGAATATTCAGTAAAAATACAAAAAGTCATATTAATAGTATATTATTCACTTTGCGTATTTTTTTTACATTTTTTATTTGCTGCAATATTTATCTAACATTATCGTAACAATCATATTCCATGTACAGCATGAGACAACAACCGGAAAGGCAACGAAGAGTAAGATTCTTCTAATTTTATTATCGGTTGAAAAAAATTCATAGATTGGTCTGTCTTCGGTTTATTTATTGGTCTACCTCGTGATGTAGATTGTGGTTTTTGATTATTAATTGTTTTGCATGGTGGCGAAGGTGGTGGTTCCATTGCTATTAGTTTTCTCTTAGGTGCAGGTTGCAGTCCATTTACTGGTTTTGGATAATTAGGTGGTTTACAAGGTGGTGTTGATTGTGGTTCTTTAATTGGTTTCAGTATATCAATCGGTAGTGTAGGTTGCGTTCCAACTACTGGTTTTTGATTATAAGTTGATTTGCATGGTGGTGTAGATTGAGGTTCCTTCATCGGTTTCGTATTATCATATAGTGGTACCGGTTGAGGTCCTATTGGATTTGGTTTTATATAATTGATTGATTTGCATGGCACTGTTGGGTGTGGTTCTATTACCAGATTAGGACTCTCATTTGGTTTTTCAGGTGCCGTAGGTTGCGGTCCAACTACCGGTTTTGAAATATAAGTTGATTTGCATGGTGGTGTAGATTGAGGTTCCTTCATCGGTTTCGTATTATCATATAGTGGTACAGGTTGAGGTCCTATTGGATTTGGTTTTATATAATTGATTGATTTGCATGGCACTGTTGGGTGTGGTTCTATTACCAGATTAGGACTCTCATTTAGTTTTTCTGGTGCCGTAGGTTGCGGTCCAACTACCGGTTTTGAAATATAACTTGATTTGCATGGTGGTGTAGATTGAGGTTCCTTCATTGGTTTTGAATTATTATTTTGTGATGTAAGCTTCGAATTATGAATTGTTTTGCATGGTGCTGTAGGTTGTGGTGCCATCACTGACTTAGGATTATCAATTGTTTTGCATAGCGTTGTTGTTGGTATTGTTGATTTAGGCTTCTTATCATTTAGTTTCTTCTCACAGTTCATTTTCTATAAAAAAACAAAAAAATATTAGACAAAGTTCAATAGTTTTACGTTTATGTAATGAAAGTAACTATACTAAATTTTTGGGTGTCGAGTTCATACTACTAAAACCAAAAAAAAATGTTTTTTTGTTCTAACTAACAAACTATCATCTCATGTTCTTTGATATTGTTTTTACCAATGCAAAAGAACGAAAGAGAGCGCGAGGCAATTGAAAACATTCGGCGGGCAGAAATAACAAAATCAAATCTTATGCTATAGATATAGCCCGATAGGCGGTAGGCCCCCTGGTATAATATCAAGAATTTTTATAATCCTTAATTTTTATGACAGAAAAACATGCATGAACGACAGACACAGGTTGTTGTTGATCCAAATTTTATAATAGGTGTCCTACTCTATAAAATCTCCTTACCAGAGAATCCAAAAGTAGTTGCAGTCGCCTTTTTCGATTTTGACAGTTACGACCTAAAATTAAACTATCATGAACTGAGCTCGATGACTTCTTTATCTTGTTAAATCATTACGAGGATTCATTCTCATTTACTGAAACCTTGCAACGAAGTTACCACAAACAAATGTTACTTTAGGGACGTTATTATCCCATTTCCAAGTATTTTAGTAGTTGGTACGCAGGATCAACAACCGACAATTTACCTATAAGGATCAAACGGATGTTAAATATGCTCCACACCCCAACTGAAAAGCTGATGCCGTATTATGAGTCGCAGCATCAACCACCCCCAGTGCAGCAGTAAGAACCCCATTCCATGTAAAGCTCTGGCAACCTCAACTAATGCAATAATACAAGATAGTATCATGTTGCCCTAGTAGTCCCCTTTAAGGAATCGCCTCGACTTATTTCCTTACACTGATTCAAAATTTAATTTATTTCAAACATAGTAAACTCAGACTTACATTGGCATACGGGAACCGGATAACCTGTAGGTATAACCAGTAATATTACCAGTGATGATTATGAAAATTTTACAAATGTTATGTGTACTATTTATACATAAATATAACAAAGAGGAGAGATTTGTAGGGTTGTAACGAACACACTTAAAAATCACTGGACTGACTTATACTTAAATAAAAAATTCACCATCAAAAAACTACATTATACTTGAGTGACATAGCCTATATTATGCGTTAAAATATATCCGTAGTTATGAAATTATTTTGATTTCTTTTCGAGTGACTTATGTAAAATTTTATTGATCGATCGATTTTTGTTTGCATTTACATAGGAAAATCATAATCTGACGAGTTATTTTAATTTTTGTCGTAAATTTGTAACTTTTGTTTATGACTATAAACTTGTGTTAACTTTAAAATAGCAAGAATATTTAACTTAATAGATACTTATAGATAAAAACGATATTATTAATAGTCAATAAAAAGTTATAAAATGAGTATTCGAGAAAGCTTAAATGTTACAAAACTATTACTGCACTATACGTAAACATACTTTAGGAGAACTAAAGTCTATCCCTATAAATGTTATGTCAGGGGACGGTCAATAATAATAATATGTAGAAAATTACCGTTCAACGACTCAACTGAACTTAGATTAGCTATTTTCTATTTAAGCGGGGCGAGTTTAAGTTCAAGCTGCTAGCAAACTAGCTGGCTTGTAGCCTGTTAACTCGACTGGTGTCGTCGATGCTTTAGTGTTATATTATAGCAGATATCATAGATGAAAGAAATGATTGGTCTCGCTTCATGAAGCAAGACCAATCATTCATCTATGGCAGATATAATAAAAAAACGAGTACGCCTTTGACCAAACGACTGAAGTGAAACTTCTTTAGCTCCATCTGTATGTATAGGTATATATGCGTGTGTGTACAATATATACATGTATGTGCATATACATACATACTTCATTTATTAGCTATAAAAGAAAGAGAGAAAGAAAATGTTCGCGCGCACTGCTTTCTCTTGCTTATATCCCCCACTCAACTCCCGTTCGCCTCGCCCGAACACACTTCTCGTAACGCGTAACGCATTTGCCAGCTTACCCCCCAAGTCAAGCGTGCGTAAAGAAGTTTCACTTCAAAACTTCTTTGTTGACAAATCATCCCACTGATATTATTTTAATAGAAATAGAATATTACGAAAATTATTGTAACTAATATAAAAATGTAGGGATCTTTAACGTACGTACCCAAGTTAGGATAATAAAGACCATTGCCGTTACTGCTCGAGGATGCTGCAAAATCAACACAATCAGTGAATATATTATCTTAATTTGACATTCTGAATGGTGTTGTGGTCAAGGTGGTCGCGTCCGTCCGAGATTGTATTAAACAAAGTATTAGTCTTTCTCACTCTCTTGATGATCTGATGAGAAACCGCCACCATGACGGATGCGTCTTCTTTAACTTCAGCGGGTCGTGAACTAGAGTAGCTGTTTTGCGATGGTCCCTTACCCAGTAAAAAAACAAGCATTTGGTTCCTGTAGCATCTGCAATCATTAGCAATCACCAATTCTTCTTGTGGCCTCGTTGTCGGTTATGGCCCATTTTTAGTACTATACGGTCATTTCTCCGGCAGCGTAGTCTTGAAGCAGAGACCTAATGGACCATAAAGTTTCAAATGAAGATGCATCTTATTATAATTGTTGTCTTTTATATTTCGGTCTGTAATTTGACGCTGTGGTTCATAGTTTCTATAGAAAAGTTAGAAAAACATACCGCTGCTGCTTGCCACTGCAATGCTTCTTCCACCACCATTTGAACTTGAAGCTGCTATTAAATTTAATGCTTGTTAAAGTGACTGACTTTTTCGTTTAGCACCGCAAAGAAAGAAACAGTAGTAACAACTTTGATCAAATGAAAGTTAAATTGTTTAATTTAAATTAAGTATTATAATGCCACGCAAATTACGGGCGAAAATGAGAGTTATGGATACTTAATTATGTCATGTTTGTAACTAATTAGCAGATTCCTTTTCTACTTCTTACTTATATCAAAAATATTTTTATTATTAGGAAGGAATACTTGAGAAACATATAGTTTACAATCTGGAACAAAATATGAAAAAAAAACAACGAAAGTAAATTATTCATTTTTATCAAAAAATCTGGATCTTTTGTGATTTAGAATATTTTAGTGTTTCAGAATATTTAAGTCGATGCGGTAGAATTTGCGTTACATGTTCAAGAAGTTAATTCATACATACCGCTACTACTTGATGCTGCTGAGCTTCCACTACCGTTTCCACCAGTGCTGGATGCAGCTGTATAACACCATTAAGTAGGTTATGTAATTGTATATGTAACAAGAAGCGATACTATCAAAACACAATTTAGACATGATTTTTAGGTTAGCTTAGCAGAATCCACACCCAGTTTTTGGTTAAGTGAAAAATAAACTCATGGGACCATTCGATTCAGAAGGTACTTAGGACCTTTTGTTTCCCAGAGATAGGGAGGCACGAAACAGGTGTCCTAGTTCACGATCCGTTTAAACAATGTAAACCCTTCCATCGTTGTCTCTCACGTTGTGTTCTTGTTACCATAGCACCCTTTTACGTGGTCCAGTTTTGGCCTTAAGTAATACTCCTCTATGTCTATCCATTTCTGTCTTTCCCATGCAGGCATGTGTGGACCATTGTGATGCCTGGGCCATATAATGTTGCGGTGGCATAACTCATGTGAAAATAAAAGGAACGAAGAAACAGAAATTATAGATATGTACAGTCATATGGTCCTCAACGTGACTGTACATTAACAGCCCCCAGACTACTATTATAATTAATGAAAAAAAAAAATTTCGTAGTAGCTTGTTTTTTATTATAAGGTTATAATGGTAAACTAAAATAGCCTCATAATTTAAATTTTTTGCCCGTTCCATAATGTGAAAACAAGGTCCTAAGTCAAGATATGCGAAACTTTCCTACCACTACTACTAAATCTTTAGAAAATGTTTTTTTTTAAAGATTCGCCAAATTCATAATCTATTTGGTGGAAAAATATATTTTTGAATGACTCGTTTCTTGACACAATTAAGTAAGAAAAAAATTAGCAATCTCTCGGTTCAATAACGCAAAAATTATGTTCTTAGTAAAGATATATGAATCATACACACCGCCACTTGCAGCTGCTGCAGAGTTTCCTGCACCACCTGATGATCCGGCTACAAAAACAAAACATACATTAATTATAAGCAATATTACCATATTAACAGTCTCCAGAATATTATTATATTTCGTGGAACAAAATACAATTCGTAATAGCAAAATTTTTATTATTAAATTATATTGCTATACTAAAGTAGCCTCTCACATTAAATTCAAGCCCGGTCCATAATGTAAAAACAATATCCTAAGTCAAGATATGCGAAACTTTCATACCGCTACCACTACCAGCTCCTGCAGCGCCTCCTGCGTTGTTTGATGCAGCAGCAGCTACAACAAAAAGAAATTCATTCACAATCAACATTATTTTAAAACTGCCCGTTCTATTATGTAAAAGCAATATCCTAGGCCAAGATATGCGAAACTTTCCTACCACTACTACTAAATCTTTAGAAAATGTTTTTTTTTAAAGATTCGCCAAATTCATAATCTATTTGGTGGAAAAATATATTTTTGAATGACTCGTTTCTTGACACAATTAAGTAAGAAAAAATTTAGCAATCTCTCGGTTCAATAACGCAAAAATTATGTTCTTAGTAAAGTTATATGAATCATACACACCGCCACTTGCAGCTGCTGCAGAGTTTCCTGCACCACCTGATGATCCGGCTACAAAAACAAAACATACATTAATTATAAGCAATATTACCATATTAACAGTCTCCAGAATATTATTATATTTCGTGGAACAAAATACAATTCGTAATAGCAAAATTTTTATTATTA